GTTCAAAACTAATACATCTTTATTGTGCACATACCATCTGCAAAAAAACACAAACTCATTGCCATCGAGTCGGACGATCCCTCCTTGGGTTTCTGAGGCAGTATCACTATGGAAGTAGATCGCCCAACCTTCCTTCCAAGGAGTGGCTGGTGGGTTTGAACCGCCAGCCTTCTGGTTAGCAGTCAAACACCTAACATCAAATACAAAGGGTGTTTCTACAGCTTTAAGACTAAACTCTGAAACTGAACCACCAGGGAGCAGTTCCAACACATAAGCACATCCCAGCTTTTGTTTCACAGCAATGATCTTCCTTCTCCTGTCATTACTGCACTGACATCAGCAAGGGTCTCCAATCACCCAGTTTATGTTTTACCTACCAGCTCTATACCGCACCTATTGTGGTAAAGCAGAAAGGCACTCACACCAAACAGCTCAGCTATGAAAGCAAGCATCTTATTCCCCCATGTAGTGTGAAATACCGTCTTATAAGTCCAAGGTCATTAACAATGTAGTGATCCCTGGAAATAGCCAGGTGGCCCCTCAAGTGAGCAAACATGGCCAAGTTTTAGAGCTCCAGATTGTATAAGCTGTAAGGTTCTTATTTTATAAGAAGGGAGACTGAGGTCTAGAGAAGCTATGAACTTGTCCAAGGTCACGTGGTGACTTAGTGAAGAACTGGGATCTTCTACTGTCTCGTAACACAACGGGCAATGGGCATCTCCCTGTCCTACTAATTTCTCTACACTGTTCATTTCTCTTCAGTGACCAAGGGCAGGAGAGGCACTAAGGCAGATGCATACGACTCTAGATACATTTTATTTTCAATTGCTCTTACCTTAAAATCATCCTTACACAGATAATCCTTAAACAATGGGCAGGCAAGCATGACTTCCACATAGAGTCTGGTGGCCAACTGGCTTCCACCAACAGTGCCATTGATTCCTTCTGTAGCAACTCGAACCTGAGATGCAAGATGGTGGGAGAAAGGGAGGTGAGGCCATCCTTAGCTCAGTTATCTTCTAGGGCAGAAGAGGAGGCGCATGTGTCAAGGAGGGTAGCAGGAAAAGCAGACACACTGGCTGTGTGGACCCAAAATGTGACCCGGTAAAGAACCTGTATTCTTCTAAAGCCACACTGTCCAGAGGCCCAGTACAGACGAGCTAGTCAGGTAATGCATACTGAAGAAAATGAACGACTGAAACGTCTGGAAAGCCCCATCTACCTGAAGCTCCAGTCATCCATGGCCAAAGAAGTGGATCTGAGCTCTGCGTAAATCCAGGTGGGATAACAGAGTCCTCCACTGAGGCCAGCAGACCGGGGATCAAAACTCAGCTCTGGCACTTACTTGCCACATGGCCCTGAGAAAGTTACTTTACTTCTCTGAACCTCAATGTCTTCATCTTGAGAAGGTGGGGAGAAGAGACCACCACCACCGAGAAAGCCACTGAGGAATACGACCCATGCCCTAAAGCACAGAGCAGACGTGAGGCTGAGGAAGGTGTGTGGGTGGCACCTCCCCGGGGTTTGGGGAAGCCCACCACTCAGTCCTGCCACTGGAACAAAGCTCCGAGAGGACGGGCTGTCTGCTCTGTTGGCTGTTGCACACCCAGGCCTAGAACGGTGCCTGGCACACAGTAGGTGCTCAAGACACGTCTGCTGGATGACTGGGTGTGCATGCACATCTGGAGCTCTTTGGTTTCTTAAACCCCACACACTCTCTGCCATGCGTTACTAAGGGAACATTACAGCCAGGTCACCAGCCTGCCTGCAGGGGCCGCACTTTGGCAGCCCTGCAAAGTTGGCTGCTTTGGTACCGTAAAATCCTTTGGCTGAGCTTAAAGATGCAGCATGTCTGATCTTCAGCCTATATAACTATGAGACCAGAAGAACTAGATGGTGCCCGGCTACCACTGTCAACCACTCAGAGAGGGATCTATGTAGGAGATCCTGGATAGAGAGGGAGAACAATGTGGAACAAAACTCAAAATCATTTGGGGAAAAAAAAAAAAGGGCACCAGGTTTGCTGGTCCGATAGAGCCCAGTGGAACCACTGAGACTATGGCCCCTAGCTGCCCTTCAGGTCTGGAACTGAACTCACACCTGTGGCTTCCAGCCAAACAAAAGACAGGCATATGAGTTGAAAATGTACCTGAGGTAGATACACTCCTTGGAGAGAACAATCATGGGAGAAAGAAGGGCTTTTTATGCACAGGGAGACAGCTCAGGGGGCAGGGGTGCATGGAGGGGTGGACACAGGGAAGAGGTAACTATTGGGAGGAAGTGGGAGGGGAGCTGTTGCATTGTGGTAAACTGTGGTCAATGTCATGAGACAAAGTATATGTTAACTGCTGTATGGAAAGTGAATTTGCTCTGTAAACTTTAACCCAGATCACAAAAAAGAAAGAAAGATGCAGCATGTCTCCAAGGAACTGAGTTCTACAGAGAAAAGTTCTGGAGGAAAAATACGATACTCCATGGTATCACAGCATTGTCTCAGAGAAGCAGTTCCGTTTAAGGCTCCTTGGAAGGGAGGCCTGACGGTCTGCTTCTGGAAACATTACAGCCACAGAAATGTATGGAGCAGTTCTACTCTGTAACACACAGAACCGACTTGATGGCAATGGGCTGTTTTTTTTTTTTTTTAATATGAAAATCGGGTTGGGAAATCCACCTGAAACTGTTTTTGCCTGTGGCAGGCTATGACACCAAGATGCACATCTCTACAGCTGTCTTCTCAGTAGACCAGATCCCTTGATATGTTAGAATCCTTTGCTATTTTAGAATCTTAGAACCCAAGTAGGAGAAAAGCTGGCCAGCATATCTACTTCCTACCCAGTTAGGGCAGAACCACCTATGCCTCACGGACAGACTTCCCATCCCAAGGGCTCTTCAACAGAAATCCTTCCGAGTAGCCCCCTGGGCAGAAATGGAGAACAGGAAGTTACCCCTTGTTGAGCATCTGCTGTGAGAAAGGAACCTTGCACCGTCATTCTGGAGAGAGACCATACTCCCCCTTCGCGTGAACAAATAGAAGCTCAGAGAGGTGAGGCAACTTTCCCAGGGACACAGATTTGCATGGGGGCAAATCTGTATTTAAAACCATATCCTTCTGGTTCAAACCTTGTCATTTTTCCTTTATAACAAAGCCTCCAATGGTCCCCTGAAATTCCTTGAGGCACAAGGAATGTATGGCAACAGGGATTGGAAGCTTCTGCCCATAATTCTAGAATTTTCATGTTTTCCTTCTCCCCACCCGGGTGCCAATACATTACCATATCTCCCACTATCAGAAAACTACCTCAAGACACAGCCCGTAGGGTTAAGACTGGGAATTTGGACCCAAGCTCCAGGCAGGTGCTGCCACCTTGTGACTGGGGACCTTCACTGCTAGCTCGCCTCCTGGACTGAGCCAAAGAACCCAGAAGAGGGACTGACTGCATGTTCTGCACCTTCAGATAAACTGTGTACATATCTATCTTTCAAGAAATAAAAGTCCTCTGAAGAGAGACAGAAATAGTCATCTAAAAATATTTACTTAAAAAAAAAAAGCTATGAACCAGGAATGGTGTTAAGAGCACATGCCTTCCTGGAGTTTACACACCAATGAAAGTCACAGATATTAAGACAGAATTTACAAACTGACAAGTGCTAAAAAATAATAATCACTACAAGTTCATTATTAATTATGAGTCGGGGCCGACTCGACGGCACATAACAACAACAACAACAACAACAACAAGTTCATATTGAGAGAGTGTAACAGGAAACATGAACTTGGAGTGAAGGCTCAGGAGAGCCTGTTTGAGAAAGTCACATTAAAACTGTGAACTGAAGCCTGAGTGAAAACCAGAAAGACAGTGCTGTGGGGGTTCCTCGAGGAGGGTCCTCAGGTAAAAAGGCCCAAAGGTGGAAAAGGACGTGATGGGCTTCAGAAAATAAAAGGGCATGTTGTGGAGTGAGTACGGAACTGCAGCGGGTCCGCTGACAAGGCAGGAAGGGACCGAGTCATGCCGGAAACCAAGGACTTCTCAAAGATTTTGGGTTTCAGTCTGAACGTGCTGCCAGCCATTGGGAGACTCTGAGCAGGGCAGCAATATGATTTTATTTCTCTTTTAAGATCTTCTGGCTGCTGCATGGAAAATGGCTGGGGTTCATTCCAGGCTGGAAGAACAGAGTCGTTTGGCAGCTCTTGCAGTTGGCTAGCTGAGAAAGTCATGACATGGTCTAAGGTGGTGAAGTAGAGGAGAGAAGTGGGGTCAAGGGATATTTTATAAGCAGAAATGGCAGGACTTGGTGACACACTAAATGAGGTAAATGAAGTCTTCTGTCACCACCTGTTAGAAAACATGGGTGTGGATAATATCACTGCTCGACTGGCTGCCTAAGGACATTAAAACCTGGGACGTGTGTGGAAAAGAGGAGGCGTGAGCTAGTACAATGCAGAACCAGAGGGATCTCCAGGAACCTCGTCTGTGTCTTCACTGTTTCAATTTGAGAACACATATACACGTGTATGTGTGTGTATAATAAACACGTGTGTGTGTACACACGTCCTCAAGGGTTACACACACACACACACATGTATACACATCAGGCATACGTCTCAAATTATGAAGGATACTTTTAGAAAAACAAAAAGAAAATAAAAACCACCATAATCCTTTCTGGTGTAGGTACCTACGACTGACGTTTCGGTATCTTTATACATACACTTACGGTTTTGTTACCAACATGCATCCATCCCTTTATTCAACATCCCACATATATTTACTAAGTGTCTATTATTGCTAAGCCCTGTTCCAGCACTGACAATACATCAGTTACTTAAAACAGAGTTCCACCCTCATGAAGCTCTAAGGGGACACAGATTAGAAAGAAGGAAACAAATACCATACTTTCAGGCAGCAATAAATTCTTCAGAAAGTAAGGAAACGCAGGGGATGGCAATTGGCAAAAGCTAGTTTCTGATGCTCTAGTCCGCAGCCCAGTCTGGTGAACAGCAGCTAAGCCAGTTCCTGATGTCCTAGTCCGCAGCCCGCCTGGTGAACAGCAGCCAGGGTTGTGAAAGCCTGTGGACAGCCATCTGAGGTAACCATTGGTCTCGACTTGTCCAGAGTAAAAGAAAAAGGAGGGAACCAAAGACTCAAGGAAGAAACTAGCCTACAGGACAGTCAACGTGAGCCATGGCTTCGCCTGTGCTGAGACCAGAAGAACTAGAGGTGCCCAGCTACCTTTACCAACTGTTATAAGCAGGGCCACAATAGATGGACCCCGACTGAATGGGCGAAAAATGTAGAACAAAACTTCAAATTCCTAAAAAAGAAAAAAAAAAACACAACCGCAGACATACTGTGCTGGCTGAAACTGGAGGTTCCCTGAGACCACACTGCCCTGAGACACCCTTCAGGCCTTGAACTAAAACCAACTCCTGAGGTCACCTTGTAGCAACACAAAACTGGTTGAAAAAATAATGATGATCCCTCGTAAGGACTGTGCTCCTTTAAAAAATCATCCAGATGAGAATGAATGGTCAACCAAGATGAGGATTGAAGAGGGCAGAGCAACAAGACCACTGGGAACGGAACCACCAGAACAGAAACAGTGAGAATGCTCACGCGCTGTGAGGAGTTCACCAATGTGTCGAACGACTTGTGTAGAAATCGTTGAACGGGAACCTAAACTTGTGTGGAAACCTTCACTGAAAACACAATAAAATGCTGTGGTGTTTAGGTTGTCTGCCAACTTGGCTGGGCCTGGCTTGAGTGGCTGGGCAGCTGGATGTAGTACTCCCCAGGATGAGACTGGTGTTCAGCTCCATGGTGGGATCTACTGGGAACAGCTGAGCAGCTGCCCTAGGGATGTGGTCTGCCTGCAATGCATAAGCAGCACTGAGGAAGGGCTGTGCAGCTTTCGGGCACGCCTGGACCCTGCATGTAGCCGAGCCTTCGTTCAGCAGCTTGTTGTCTGCTGATCTTAGTATTCCTAGACTTGAACCAGAGGCCTGCTGTGTTTGAGAATTTGGGACTGGGCCTTTTTACTTGTCAGCCTTGGGTTTGTCAGCCTCAGCAGCCAGCAGCTGTCTGAGTGAAGAAAAGCCTCTGGCTCCAGTGGGCCGGGAGCAAGAGGCAGAGGTGAAGCCCAAGGTCAAGGGGCTTTCACCCAGCCCCTAAAGCTGGCACTTTGAACTTGGACTTCTAGCCTCCTAAACTGTAAAAGTAGAAATCTGTTTGATAAACCCACCCATTAGTTGATAACCAAAAATATATTACTAAAAAAAAAAAAAAACAACTAGGGAAGTGGGGTATAAAGTGATGAGGGCTATGGAGAGGACTACCTCGATTAGAGTTCTGAGGACGTAATGATGGAGCTGAGATCTGATGTGAGGGAGGAGCCACCTGAACACCTAAGGGCAGAGTGAAGGGATCAGCAAAGGTCAATACCAGAGCTGTGAGGCCCTGGCCTGTTCTAGGAAAAACAAGGTGCAACCTGGAATCACGCCCACACGTATAGATTCATAGCTTGCTTTTCTAGTTAATATAGCAAGATCATTTCTTACGCCAGAGGTTGCAAATGCTACCTGTTTTTGTATGTAATTTTTTTTAATTGTGATTTGCATGAAAGTTTACAGAGCAAATTCACTTTCCATACAGCAGTTCACATACACTTTGTCTCATGACATTGACTGTAATCTCCCACAATGCAACAGCTCCCCTCCCACTTCCTCTCCACAGTCACCTCTTCCCTGTGTCCTTCCTTCCCTCCCACACACTCCTGCTCCCTGAGCTGTCTTCCTGTGCACACACAGCCCTTCGATTCTCCCATGACTGATCTCTCCAAGGAGTGTATCTACCTAATGCAAATGTTCAGCTCACATGCCTGTCTTTTATTTGGCTGGAAGCCACAGGAGTGGGTCCAATTCCAGACCTGAAGGGCAACTAGGGGCCATAGTCTCAGGGGTCCCACCAGGCTCTATCAGGCCAGCAAACCTGGTCCTTTTTTTTTTTTTCCCTAATGATCTTGAGTTTTGTTCCACATTGTTCTCCCACTCTATCCAGGATCTCCTATAGAGATTTCCCTCCGAGTAGCTGACAGTGGTAGCCAGGCACCATCTAGTTCTGGTCTCATAGTCATATAGGTATTTTCAGATGTAATTTTATTGGAACATAGCAATACTTGTGTGTGTGTGTGTGTGTGAATATAGCATAAAATTACATAATTTCATGATAGAATGGCAGGTTAAGTAGTTGTAACAAAAACCACATGGCCTGAAAAGCCTAAATATTTACTACTGGTCCTTTGTAGAAAAGGATCCCAACTGTTAAACATTCTCCTTAAAAGCCCTGTGGGGTCTCCCTCATTTCTAAGAACTCAACAGAGAATCCTTTTTTTTTTTTTTTTTAATTAGGATTTGGGTGAAGATTTACAGAGTAAATTCACTTTTCATACAGCAGTTCACATATACTTTGTCTCATGTCATTGACAGAGAATCCTTTTTGTACTTAGCACCACCTCTATAATCACGTTGGGGAGGAAGAGGAGGCCGGTGAAGGATGACATGAGAAAAGAGTTACCTTGCCCGTGAGGTGTAGATGCTGACACAGAGCTGTCTGCCAGGCACAGACCCAGTGGGGGTCCTGCAGGTCACAGTAGCAGTAGTAAAGTAGCACCTCTCCTTCGTCAGTGCCCTGGCCACTACCGAGAGAAGACCAGAGGGAAAGAGCACAATTCATAAAGGGCACACAGGCAGCTCCTGGCAGCAGCCGTGCTGTTTGCTCCCAAGCCCTGAGGTCACTGTAGCCCTGAGACCCTGAGCCACAACCACCCAGCTATGCTGCTCCTGGATCCTGACCCTCAGAAACTGGGTGACATTACGTCTGTCGTCTTAAGCGGCTATACTTCAGGTTGACGTGTTCCAAGGCAAGAGACACTGACACAGGACTCTGCATTGGGGGGGGGGGGTGCAGGAGAAGGGAGAGAACAATCAGTTTGAGGTTTTTGAGTGAAAAGGCAAACTTTCAGACCTCAGCACCCTACGTTACATTGATTGCATTAAACCACTGGAAAAAGTTCACTTACATTCAGTGCACTCTAAAAACGAGAGAACGTAACGCAGCTTGAAACACTCCAGTTTTAAAAAAAGTTAAAACAGAAACTGTAGTAACTGTGAAAGGTAAGCTGCATGTACCCCCTTTCTACGGTAGTCACCACGTGGACATGACATTCCTCAGTAAACGCTGATGAATGAGGCACCTGTCTGGGTGTTTATCTGGGATCATGATGGGCTCGGACAAAGGTTAGTTTTTACCTGCACCACTTATTGACTTAAAAATTCTTACACTCGCTGCCATCAAGTTGATTCTGACTCATTGCGACCCACACTGGGTGCGTGCAGTGATGTGGCCCTTCTAGCCACTGTCCTCCATTCTGCAATGTATTGTAACTCCCATTATCCACGCCTGTGTGGGGTGGGGTGGTGGTTAAGGTCAGGTGTCAACTGGGCTGGGCAGCTGGTAGCAGTCGTTCCCTATAATGACTGGCAATCAGCTCTGTGGTGGGATGTGCCTTGAGCTGCTGATTGTTAAAGCCTCCACTTGGGTTATTGCTGTTGGAGCAGCACAGGTGGGATGTACCTTGAGTCCTGCCTTGCCGGAAGGTATAATTCAAATCACCACCCGTAGCTTCCTTGAGCCTATGCCTACAATCTCCTGGGAAGGTTCGCTCTCCTCTTGCTCCCATTCTGTTTTGGCTCATCCTCATCTCACCCCTGGATGTGGGACAGCAGCCGTCATCTGATCTGCTGATCGAGGTTCATCAAACCCCGAGAACTGGGAGGCTCCTCCAGACCCACTCACGGGCCTGGGAGACTCGCCAGCCTGCCAGCCTCCACCACTGCTACGTGAGACGATCGCTTGGGTGTCTGTGAGTTCTGCGAGGCGTTACAGCGAAATACAGGACCCTAAGACGGGGGAGATTACTGGGAGGAGTTAATGTCTGAAATGATGGTGTGGCACAGTAGTTTGGACATTTGGGATATCTTTAATCTTTGCCTTATGGGGACTGGCCTTGTGCTGATCTTTCTGAGAGAAATTGTTCAAGCACTGGGTTTCCAAGACTAAATCTTAACGGAAGCAGACTGCCTCACCTTTCTTCTGCAGAGCAGCTGGTGGGTTTGAGAAAGCTCTGGAGTGAGGCATAATTTACAAGTGAGACGCACAGACCTTAAGCATGTAGTTTTGACACGTGCATCGGCCCACGTAACTCAGGCCTCTAACAAAACTTCAAACATTTCCATCACCTCAGAAAGTCCCTCTTGTGTTCCCAGTCAACCCTCTACCCTACCAGAAGCAACCAGTGTTCTATCATTATAGATGTTCTAGAACTTCATGTCAACAGAATTAGAAAGTATGTACTCTGTCTAGCTTCTTTCTTTGCAACCCACCCACACGTCCTATGACTCAGAAGCTCTAGCTCATGTACTGCTGGGCAGTATTCGTGTATGACCACACCACACTCATTCACTCATATACCACTGGGCAGTATTTGTGTATGACCGCACCATGGTTTACTCATTCACTCATATACCACTGGACAGTATTTGTGTATGACCATACCACAGTTCATTCGTTCACTCATATACCATGGGCAGTATTGTGTATGACCACACCATGGTTTACTTATTCTCCTGTTCTGATGGGCAGCTGCAGCTGTTTTCCGTTTTGGGTTATTATGAATAAAGCTGTTATGAACACTCTTGAATGAGGCTTTTTTCAGACATAGGTTTGCATTTCTCTTGGTTAAACACCCAGGAGTAGGTCAGAGGGAGGCTTTATGTCTAATTTTAAAAGAAACTGCCAAACACCCTTCCCAAAGTGGTTGTACCACCTTACCTTCTCCCCAGCACTGACTGGGAGTTCAGGCACTCCACCTTCTCACCCACATTTGGTGGAGTCAGTCTTTTTCATTTCAGTCATTTAGTATGTGCGTAGCAGTATTTCAATGTAGTCTGAAAAGTCTTTTAACCCTTTTGTGACCCGTTGGACAGTGTCCGCCACATTTTCTGCCTCTGGGGTTTAGCGGGAAGCTGCTAGGCCCCTTTTAGGGTATGCTGGTATCTGGTGGGGGCTGTATAACTATGTGAAGCTGAAGAAATGGACCTCATCCCAACCAACCCCAGCACCAGAGACCTCTCAGGACACATGTCTCACTAATAGTATCAAAATCTCTATTATTCCCCACAATGTTTTTTTCCATTTCATTCAAAATGCCTTCTATTACTAAAACACACAGTTTCAAAAAAAAAAAAAAACCAAAGCTGAAAATAATTGATCTTGAAAGGGTTAAAAATCAAACCAAAAGTACAGAATGAAAATCTTACCCTATCAGCGTCTCAGGACTGAAGCAGCTTATATCAGGAAGCCAAGTGGACACTTTGTGGTCAGGAGTGTGATACTCTTTCATAAGGTTCCTCTTATCTGCAGACTTAAGGCTCTCAGAGGAGCTCAATGTCACAGCCAGCTGCTTTAAAACAGCAGCAGTCTGGTGACAAAGTTCATCAGTGTGCTGTGTTGCCGCGTGTCTGTGGATGCTGGTCTGGTCCTTGAATAGCTGTTGACAACATTCCCACCATTTTTCTTTAAATTCACAGGGAGATGCTGGAACCTCCTTGGTTTTGACAAAAAGGGCAAATGCCTGCAATTACATTTCAAATAACGTCAGTGTTGGACACACTCCGTTTAAGGCTGACAAGAGTGCAGTCCCTCCGAGCACCTTCCCACAGGGGTTTCTAGTTCTATGTCCTACTGTTTCAGACACATTCTCTTACTACTAAGGTTTAGAAGACATGAACAGAGAAGGCAAAGTGGGTTTATGTTACAGAGCTTAAATAATTCCCAGCATCGTAACTCTGTCCTGAGAATGTCAGTCTGTGCGTCCCACTGCAACACCCACACTATACAGCTTGACTCTGTGGTGCTTTCTGCCACTCATGTCCCATCACTGGAAAAGGACCAGCATCAGAACACACCACTTGCTTTCTGCAGCGGGCCCCTCCCCCGCTCACTCGCTCCTCCTTGTCAGGTGCCGTCAGGTGGGCTCACCTGGATTCCTCACTGTTCCACATGCCTGTCTTTGCTTACGCTGTTCCCTGTATGTGGGGTGCCCCACTCGGCCTCCCTCTTCTCCTGAACTGCTTCTGAACTTTCCCAGGGCATCTATCTCAGAGCCACCTCTGATGTAAAAGAGACTACGGTCCTCCACTAAATGTTATTTCTCCATCTTACAAATGCTCATAAAAACAGCTATTTTTATTTTTCTATTTAAAGAGATTCTGGAGCTATAAATACTGACTTTGCAATCAACACCACCCACAGTTAGCCTGTCCTGGGCGTACTCAATGTGCACAAGGCATCCTGGGATGCTCTGCCCTTTTTCTCCACCAGTGGAGCCCCAGAGAGTGGACCAGATCAGAAGTCTCACCTCGACAGTCCACAGAGTTTAGGAACAGTTTCAAGTTTGGTCCCCTCACGCAATGGCAACTTCCCTGCTTCTATTTACCATACTCACGGCCAGGCTTCCTACATTCCTCACTCCTCCTATAACCCTGGCTGGGGAAAGGAATCCAGTCCATCTGTCTAGGATCTGCCCTCCTCAAGGACTGTGCCCTATCTGTTCTAGGGCTACATCTTGTCCGTGACTCCCTTTTTCTGGCACGGAATTACTATTCCTGGTTAATGCCACTGACTAGGCCTTACCTTGACCACAGCCAGTCTCACCGGCTCTCTACTTCCTGGAAGGCAGACTTGATGAGCTATTGCTAGACGTACCTGCATTAGCTACACTTACATGGTCATGAACCATCAACAATGATTGTACCTTTTTCTTTGCAAAGGAGTATTTCTTCTTTGTGCTGACATCTAACTCTGCTTTGAGACAGCTGCTGGGACTGAGAAGACGAGTGTCCTTTAAATCCAGGTCTGAAAATCTAAAAGCACAGGCCTCCAGGTCACCTTCCTGGTCTGGTGGAGTAGAAGAAGGCATGTGGTTTGGGTGCAGTAGTCTGGTAGAGAGTCCTTTCCACAAGCTACTTCCTAGAATGCAAACAAGGGAACAACAGCAATGTCAAAGTCCTTGATTACTTCTTGAAATAAACTTGGTGCTAATCAATCATGCAACTGAGCATGGGCCCTGGAACCCAGGCTGTCCATTCATTCGCTTGTTTGTACAATAAATACTTATTAAGCACCTACTGTATGCCAGGCCCTGTTCTAGACACTGGGACAGAGCAACGAAACAGGAGACTCTCTTTCTGAGACTTACATGCCAGTGGGGAGAGACATAAGGTAATCAAATGAATAAACTGATGACAAAACGTCAGGTAAGCAGAGTAAGAGGACAGACAGTGGTGGGCATGGGGGGCTCTTTCCAACACAAAGGGCAGGAAAAGCCGTTCTGAGGCAGTAACATTTAAGCAAAAAAAAAAAAAAAAAAGCACCAGGAAGAGCTACAGTCAAGCAGGCAGTATGCTAGCATGTTCAGTTATAAACACTGTTGTTGGCTGTCCCCTAATATCTGAGCAGGAGCCCTGGTGGCACATGGTTAAAGCGCTCAGCTGTTGACCACAGGTCGATGTGTGAACCCATCAGCTGCTCTGTGGAAAGTGGCCAGCTTCCATAAAGATTCCAGCCTTGGAAACCCTATGGGGCAGTTCTGCCCTGTCCTTCAGGGTGGCCGTGAGTCAGAATTGACTCAACGGCAGTGGTTTTAGTTTAACTACTAATTTGTGCTAATTCCTTTCCTTAGAAGAAAGGAATTTCCTTAAGAGAGTCCATGTCATTGAGCCGGAACAAATATCAAAATTGCACAGTGGTCAGATCTTATGAAAATAGACACAGTACACCAACATCCCACGTTCTGTCTTGTGTAAAGCATGTTACAGGTGACAAACACTGCAAGGCACCTTGATGCACTGGGACAAGCGTGGGCTTTGCACGTGGCCCAGCAGGTTGCAGCTCTGTGAACCTGGGCAAGCTGCTTTCTGTCTCTGAGTTCTGATTCTGCAACCTGTACGAGGACAGCAGTATCTAGCTTGTGTGACTGCAGGGACTACCAGGAAGCAACATGGGAGTGGCTGGCACATACAGGGGCTCAGTGACTATTTCAATTTAACTGAATGGCGGTTTTAAATTTAACATTAAAATCCAATTACTCTGAAAACCAGCTGGGGCAGGTCGCACAGCCTGGTCCTGCCTCACGTGTTGCTTTCCTTCCCAGCCTGCCTTGTCTGGCCCATGGCTTACTCTCACCTGGCGCTCCCCTCGCCTGCCCTGCTCTCTCCAGCATTTGCGGTTCCTGCCTCTTTAGTCAGTCCCTCACTTGCCACTCTCTTCATCTACCCAAACCCACCACTGACATCAAGATCCAGCTCAAACATCACCTCTTTCACCAAGTCTTCTGTCACCCCAGTGCCACGCCGACCTCAAAACGCCTGAAACACTTAGTTACTGTACCTCTCCAGGCTCACGTCCTGTACCCTGCTCCCGCCATGCTGGACTCGTCCTATTCCCACAAGCAGGCCTCATCTCTCCCGGGTCAGGGTCTTCGCACACACCTTTCCACCAGCCCAGAACGACTTCTTTCAATTAGCACCTTACTCATTTCCATTTGCTTATTTCTATACTTTATCTGTGGAGATTCTCCTGCGCGCCCAGCAGTGTGCTGCTGGAGATACAGCTCTGAATGACAAAGTCAAGGTCCTGCTCACTGGGAGTTTATAGTTTAGAGAAGGGTGAGACACTGAAGACGTAAACCAACCAACATGAGAAGACCAGATCGTGTCAAGAGCCACTCCTTTCCAGTTTCCTGTGCTGGACCCTAGTGCTCCCAACCTGCATGTGCTGAACTGATCTGTCTACACTCAATCCCTAGGTGATCTCACCAGCCAAGGTCTTAACAACTACATTCTCCTCAAAAGGACTGGAGCAGCTGGGGCAAAGAGCACGTGACATGGGTGAAACCAGACTGGCCGGGAGTTGATCACGACAGCACCTGAGTGATGAGGACATGGGGCTTCATGACATCATTTTCTCCACTTCTGCAATAAAGGGCACTTTCTGTTTAGTATACTACAGATTAAATGACCCACGATGTGTTTCTCTAGCCTGCACTTCTCCCTTGAACTCCACATTCATATACCCAACTGCCTAGTGGATGGCTTCAGCTGGATGTCTGATATTGTTGTTGTTGTGTGCCATAAAGTCAGACTCGACTCATAGCGAACCCTCCTTGGGTTTCTGAGGCAGTATCACTACAGAAGTAGATTGCCCAACCTTCCTTCCGAGGAGTGGCTGGTCTATTTGAACCGCCAGCCTTCTGGTTAGCAGTCAAATGCCTTAGGCACTACGCTACCAGATGTCTGATTGGATTCTCAAAGGCGACTGCTCAAAGCTGAACTCCTAATGTACTCCTCCCAACCCCAATTGGCTCCTCCTCAGCCTTCCTGACCTAAGGACAAGACTTCTATTCTTCCTGTCACTCAGGCAAAACACTCTGGGATGATTCTTGATTCCTCACCCTCCCACACCACCACCCAGCCCCTCAGGAAATCCCATCAGCTCTGCTTCAGAAATAGAATCAGGTCAGGCCATTTCTCAGCACCTTCACTGCCTCCCGGGTTTGTGTCCCTATCATTTCTTACCCGAGTCACTGCAACAGCCTAAGTGCGCTCCTACTGCAGCAACCAGAGTGATACCTATTAAAACACAAGGATGCTCACCCTCCGAAGGCTTCTCAGCTTACTCAGATCAAGTCCAGAGACCTTGCCATACCCCTCCCTCCCATTGCCTCTCTGATCTGCCTTCTACAACTCTCCCCATTGCCTCCTATTCAGACAGCACTGGTCTTTTTCCCACTCCTCGATGAGTCAATAGAATTCCAGCTCTGAGAACATGACCGTCTCCTCTGTTCACCGCTATATTCTCAGCATCTAGAGTAGCTCCTGGCACATAAACCCAACCCAACCTGTTGCCATCTAGTCTCGTGACTCAGCACCTCTGGGGAGACTCAAACCTCCAACCTTCAGGTCAGCTGAGTGCTTTAACCGTTTGCATCACCCAGGGATGATGTCTGGCACGTAACCAAAAACCAAACTCACTGACCTCGAGTCGGACCCGACTCATAGTAACCCCTCCTTGGGTTTCTGAGGCATTATCACTATGGAAGCAGATTGTCCAACCTTCCTTCCGAGGAGTGGCTGGTGGGTTTGAACCGCCAGCCTTCTGGTTAGCAGTCAAGTGCCTTAGGCACTATGCCACCAGAACTCCCGCTGGCAAACAGTACCGTGCTGAGTACTTTAAGTACAGTCTTTGGTAAATGAATAAATGACCAAATGAATGACATAAAAGTGCACTGTGGGATCTAATGGCAGAGCCAGGTCGCTTAGACCACTGGGTAGCCAGGGAAAGCCTCAGTCAAGCTGAGACCTAAATGACAAGAAGTTAGCCATGCAAAGATTTAGGAGCAGAGACCTTTCAGCAAAAGAAAGAGTGAGTATAAATTTCTAAAGCGGGCCAAGCTTGACGTTATCGATGGCACAGGGAGCAAACCAGGCTGGCTGAAGCTCAGCGGTGAGCGGGTAGGACGGTGTAGGCCACGGCTGAAGTCTGCGGCGGAAAGTCACTGTGGAGTTTTAAGCGGAGAAAAATGGCAGCAGGGGAGATGTGGACCAATTCCGGATTTGTTTTGGAAACGGAGCCGGCAGGAGATACGGATACATTGTTATATAAAAGGAACGGAAAAGGAGGATTCAGGAATGACTCCCGCCTAGATCTTTGGGTTAAGCAACTGGATGGATGGTGTCATTTACTGTAATGGGTAAGCCTGAAAGAGGCATGGGTGAGGCCAGTAGCAGGAAACAAGAGTTCAATTTTAGACTCTCTGAATTTCTGACGACCACTCAGAGACGTCAGGGCTGGAGATGTTCATTAACACAATCGCCAACAGCCACTGAAAACGATACTAACATCATCAACTTGTTCCTTCTTAAGTAAAAAGGTACAGGTGAGAGGTAAGACGACAGCCAGAGGGTAAGCCCCGGCACGGGCGGCTCTCGTCCGGCGGGTCCTCGCCTCGCTGGGGGCGGCACGTGCGGCGCCGCTGCCATCCCGGCCCCTCCCAGCACAGTGGGCCTGGCCCGATCTGGCCGCCCAGCCTTCCCGAACAGGCAACACAGACCGGAAGTGGGGGTAAAATGCGCACGTACCCGCCAGTCCGATCTACTCTTGGGTCTTTCTTCACTGAACTGTGTCGACCTAGCAATTGGCACTTGCTCAATGCATCGGGAACCTACAACCCCAGTTGTGTGTGTACGTATGTACGAACGCTCGGACGTCACCTCGCTCCGGAAGTAATAGAGGCGGTTAGCGAAAGGGCTACCGGGAATACCAATGCGAGGCCCCGGGGGCGGGGCTGAAACTGAGGCTGAGCCTTTCGTGGCTCGCAGGCGGCGGGCTCTTAGTGGCTGTAGCGGTTACACTTGCTGCGTGGCCCCGGAAGGACATAGCGCGACAGGCGGGAGGTGGAAGTTGCCGAGAGGCGGGGGAAGCCCGAGGGAGGCGATTGCGTGTGGACCAAAGGCCCGCGGCCTGGTTAGCTCCCGACGCCGTCTCTACCGGATCCGAGCTTGCCGAGCCCACCCGGAGGGCCTCCCTCCTTGCGCTTCCGGGAGCCGAAGCGTGCGAGTGCGCCTGCGCGCTGGCGGATCCGCGCGCCTAGTTGCTATCCTCGCGCCGGCCGGCTGCTGGACGGTTCCTGCCGGGCTTCCTGTCCGGTGTCTTAGCTTAGAAGTGCACCAGCGGGCGGCATGTCGCGGCGGCGGCACAGCGACGAGAATGACGGTGAGTGCCCTGAACCTGGCCGCCAAGTCGCGGCCAGGTGGGAGCCGAGGTTTCGGCTTCTTGGCCTTCGGGTCTCGAGGGAAGGGACGGGAAACTCTCTGCTCCGGGAGCGTTGGCCGAGCCACGGAGGACAGCGGAGCGGGGATGGCCAGGCGGATTCGGGAAGGCGACTGCTTCCCGCCCGCCCCAGCGCCGTTATCGTCGGCAGATCACGGGGATCTGAGGTTTGGTGAACGGTAGTTCGCTAAGAACTCTTGAGAATTTGGCCCTCAACACCATGTCTGCTGCTATCGTGCTGGGTACCTGCGTCCCGTTTTGACCCTGAACGCTGCATCTGAGACTGGCCCTCGCAGGTCTACTGAAGGAAAGGAACAAAGCCGTTCATTAGTTGCAGTCCTGTTCACCGTTGATTGCCGTTCTCTGAATTTGCAGGGGAGAGGTTTGTCTCTTCACCTGAGCGCGATCGCTGATAGGCAGGTGCACCGTTTTACGTTAGATTTTGACCTGGTCGCCATAGTGTGAGCGACACACTTTATCTGTTGATGGCTTAAGTGGTGATAAACACTGGCAGATGCCCACAGTGGAAGGAACAAGTACAGAACAAAAATTTCAAATTCAATACACATTTTCTCCTTGAATGTTGGGGTAGTTGGAGGTGGGGGCACGATCACACGTATTTCATTTGAGCCATGAAACACCACATTTCTGCTAAGGCATGGCTTGAGTGTCCAGCCTCACCTGACACCCCAGGGTACAGAGCAGAGTCGTTTGCTCAGAGACCCGGCAAGAAGTGCCCAGACAGTAGCTTTGATTTTAACATGGGGAGGCTTCTTTATAACGTGCACCCCCAAAAACCCAAACCCACTGCCATAGGGTCAGTTCTGATTCGTAACAGCACCCATTGAGTTTCCAAGGAGGTAAATCTTTACAGGAGTACATTGCCCCATCTTCCTTCCACAGAGTGGCTGGTGTGTTTGAACCTCCAGACTTCTGGTTAGCAGTCAGATGCCTTAGGCACTCTGCCATCACAGCTCCTTAACATGCACACAGGGCACAAGAAGGTAGAATTTTTTTTTACTTTGAATCTAATCACAGTCATCACTGAGGGTTTAGACAACTTGAGTCTCTGGTCCTCTTTTCTTTCTTGTTACGCTTTAACATTTGCTTTTCCCTCTCCCTGCTAAAAACCCACCCCTGCCATTGAGTCAATTCTGACTCATAGTGATCCTTTAGGGCAGGGTAGAATTGCCCCACAGGGTTTCCAAGGCTGTAAATCTTAGGAAAGCAGACTGCCTCATCTTTCTCACGTGGAGCAGCTGGTGGGTTCAAACTGCCAACCTTTTGGTTAGCAGCCAGATGCCTTCACCACTGTGCCACCAGAGCGCCTTCTTCCTTCTAGGAACCCCGGAGGGAGGGAAAATGTCTCTACAGGGCTGTGGAAGACTGGAATGCAAGTGTGTGGAAAAATGTTTTGTTTTGGTGATTGAAACTTTCTTAATTTTCTCTGGGTTGGTTCTGAAAGAAAAACTTTAATATGTAACAGAATGTTTGGCCTTCTGATAATTTTTGAGTGTATGGTTCAGTGACAGTAATTCTTGTTAATACTGGGAGCCCAGTAACTATTCATTTGGGTGATGCTGCAGGGACTTGCGAGTTAGGTGAAGACAAAGGGAAGTGAAATACGGAATAAATTGAGCAGATTTCACCATTATGGATGATGGGGAACAATTTACAGTTCCTCTTTGATAAAACATCGAATCAGGAACTTTTGTAAATTGCCACAATATAGATAATGACCACTAGAGCTTACCTTAAATATTATTTGAATCAACTATTTTGCATGCTTCCTTTTAATTAAGCTTCTAATATTTTTAAATAACACGTTAGAAATTTAAATATTATAGAAGGCTGTTTTAAACGTAGAACTCAAACTGATTGCTGTTGAGTTGATAAAACTCATAGCAACCCCACCTTGGGTTTCTGAGGCGACATCTCAATGGAAGTAGATTGCCCAGTCTTTCTCCTGGGGAGTGGCTGGTGGATTTGAACCTCCAGCCTTCTGGTTAGCAGTCAGATGCTTTAGGCACTACTCCGCCAGAGTTCCTTTTAAACGTAGACTAGGTATTATTACCAGAAAACAAATCTGCTGCTATCCAGTTGATTCCGACTCATAGGGATCACATGTTGTTGTTTTTAAGTGCCGTCGAGTCGTTTCTGACTCATAGCGACCCCATGCACAGCAGAACGAAACACTGCCCGATCTCGTGCCAGCCCCACAATCCCTGCTGTACTTGAGCCCATCATCACAGCCACCGTGTCAATCCATCTCGTTGAAGGCCTCCCCCTCTTTCGTTGACCCTCCACCCTACCAAGCATGACATCCTTCTCCAGGGAATGGTCCCTTCTGACAACATGACCAAAATAGGTGAGACGAAGTCTGGCCATTCTTGCTTCCAAAGAGCATTCTGGCTGCACTTCCTCCAGGACAGATCTGTTAGTTCTTTTAGCAGTCCATGGTACTTTCAGCATTCTCGGCCAGCACCACAACTCAAAAGCATCAACTCTTCTTCGGTCTTCCTTATTCATTGTCCAGCTCTCACATGCATACGAAGCGATTGGAAATATCATGGCTTGTGTCAGGCGTACCTTAGTCCTCAAGGAGATATCCTTGCTCCTCAGCACTTGATACAGTTCCTTCGCGGTTGACTTTCCCAGTGCTACACGTCGTCTAATGTCCTGACTGCTGCTTCCGTTGGCATCGATTGTAGAACCAAGCAACATGAATTCTTTGACAACCTCAATCTTCTCTCCATTTATTGTGATGCTGCTCATTGGTCCAGTTGTGAGGAGTTTTGTTTTCTTTATGTTGAGACGTAATCCATACTGCAGACTGTATTCTTCAACCTTCATCAGTAGGTGCCTTAAGTCATCGTCACTTTCAGCAAGTGAAGTTGTATCGTCTGCATATCTCAGGTTAATGATCCTTCCTCCAATCCTGATACCACGGGGATCACATAGGACAGAGTAGAGCTGTCCCATAGGCTCTCCCAAGCTGTAAGTCTTTATGGAAGCTGACCACGTCATCTTTCTCCCACGGAGTGGCTGGTGGATTCAAACTACCAGCCTTTTGGTTAGCTGCTGAGTGTTTTAACCACTGTGCCACCGGACAGCATTAAATAGGTACATCTGAGCATTTCTGCATTCTCATCAGCTCTTAGTTATTGATAGCCCTGGTTTTCCAGAGCCCTGGCTAGATACAGTCCTTTATTCCAGAGACACTTAACAGTATCAGGCAGTGTCCTGAACACTGGCGAGCCGTCCAAGGACAGTCCAGTGACGGAGCCTCCATCCCAGCACAGGGCAGCAGATGGACACGATTAGGTAAAATGTAGTGGATCACATGGCGATGAGTGATTTGGACAGAAATAGAGTGGAGTGCAAGGAACAGCGGCTGCTGGGGTGGAGGAGTTACTGCGTCGAAACCTATAAGAACCAGAACTCCTTGTTTTTGCAGGTCTCGCAAATAGTCCACCTTCGGCAAGGTGAAATTTTACCACTTTTGCTGTCACTCTCTGTTAGTGGGAAATATCTGTGTTTTCCTTCCCTGGCAGCTTGCTGCCATGCCCAGGTTCCAGCTTTCATAGTTTTACTGCATCAGGGACATTGGTCAAGAAGGCCTCCCTGAGAATGGCCTGTGATCGGAGACGCTCAGGGAGTGAGAGAAGCCGTTTGCATTCCTGGGAAGAGCAGTGGTCCAATCAAAGGGAAACATGAGGATGAAGCCCTGAAGGCCAGAGTCAGGTTCACGGAACAGCAAGGCGGCCAGTGGCTGGAGCAGAGTGAGGAGGGGGAGAGTTGGAGGTGATGAGATCAGAAAGGAGCAGAGGGTTAGAGCGTGTGAACCAGTTGCCAACAAGTCAACTCCGACTCTTGACGACCCCATGTATGTCAAAGTAGAGCTGTGTCCATGGCGTTTTAAGGGACTGATTTTTCAGAAGTAGATTGCCAGGCCTTTCTTTCGGGGTGTCTTGGGTGGACTCGACCCTCCAGCCTTTCAGTTCGCAGCCGAGTGCATTAACCATTCGCACCCCTCAGGACTCCTTCGGTAATGGAGGGGGCTTTCCAAAGCACGTCTCTGGCTGCTGTGTTGCGACCGGACTACCCAGGATCTGGGGAGCCGGTGGGAAGACTGCCGTGAGCTCGTGTGGGAGGATGAGTCACAAGGGGTGAGTGAGCTGTGGGTGTTGCCCGTCGGCTGGCGACCACATACACAGAGGAGCAACGTGCTGCCAGTGCCGCACCATCCTCGTCGCTGGTTTCAGGTCGAGCAACGCCCCTTTGTTACCCGGAGGGTTTGAATTGACTGCTGTCAGGAAGTAGAGGGCCAGACCTGCCTTCCTGCCCCGGCGCAGTCTGGAGGCTCTGCTCAAACGTGCTCAGCATCAAGGCTGCGCGTGAGCCTCTGCTGACGGACGAGCTCGGCTCTGCATCAGGTCCACCGCTCGGGGATCAGACCTGCCTCAGCATCTCGTCCTGTCCTTGAAGTGCCAGTGCCTCATTGCCTCGTACAGAGGCTAGTCTGGTGCTCAGTCTAACACATCATGTCTCAGAATAGCCTCAAGAATGTGCCTGGAAGACAATGGTCCTATCAGTTTATGTGAATGATCAGAATCCCCAGGTATATAGTAGAGCTGACAAGGGGCAAGGTGGTGGTCACTGCTTGGTCACAGCCAGCTACCCAGAGCGACTGAGTAGTTGAACCCGTGGGCCTGGGACCATAGTTGCAGGGGACATCAAGCTCAATTGGCGTAACATACTATACAAAACATTGTTCCACCTCCTACTTTGGCAAGTAACGACTGGGATCTTAAAAGCTAGCAAGCTGCCATCTAGATGCAGTGATGGGTCTCTCTTCATCCAAAGCAAAGAAGAATGAAGAAAACCAAAAATTCGTGGAAACAATTAGGCCTAGCACATGGTACACCATCCAATCTGCAGCC